GGAGTTGACTCGGAGTTTGTGATGGTCCCTAGTGCTCGCCCCGCGTTCGCCAGCACATGCTGGCAAAGAGGTGGACGGCTCAGTCAATACGCCCCAGCGGTGCTGACTGGCGTGGGGACTACGGTGGGGTGGCTGCTGATGGGCTGCTTGGAGGTGTGGTCTCAGGCGAGCAAGGCGGAGGATTGAATCCCCGTTTCGGCCTTGCTGTTTGCACCAAGTGTGTACGTTATTCTTTCTCTCGTGCTGCGTGTCGCGGTGCCCGCAGGTGCCTTGTTAACGGGATTTGCTGTTGCGGCACTGGAGAGTGGCGTTGCTGCAGCAGCCTCCGTCCCTGTGGTGCGCCCCATGCATGCAAAGGGGACCTTGCGGGAGCTCATAACTTCGCGCGCAGTGTATTGTGACTGTCGGCCATACGCTTGAAGCGTTTTCTTCGCGGTGGCGTATTGTGACTATCATTTTCTTAATTTATCCTGTTTTCTTTATCTGGGTCCGAATGGCCTCTGACAAAGTTATGTTTTCGCTTGATGAATTAAGTTTTCGTTCCTCAGGTTGATGGAGGTGTGGCGACATTTAAGGAGGTGGGCGTACGTGGCCGTCTCCGCTGGGGATACGACAGGTGACAGTACGATGGCTTTTGGGCTGAGAGGTAGGAACTTTGTGCATGCGTTATTATTCTTATTCTTCTATTTTCTCGTTGGTGTGTGTGCGAGTCTGTGTGGCAATAAGCTACGCTGTACGGAGTGAGCAACGGCCTCGAATGAAATGAGAAGAAGGAATGTTTTCCCTGTTTGCGGGTGAAGGGGTCTGTGATGAGGTATTCGTAGTGAAAGGATGCAAGTTGCTCTCTCTTTCCTTTTTGTGTTGCGTACTTTGCGTGGTAGTACCAAAAGATTTTTCTGATGTGGTCAACTTTTTTTTTTTGCTTGGTATTATTTTCACTTCCTGTTGTTTGTTGTATTTTTCTTCTGGTTTAAGCAGTGACCTTTACTCGGGGTGTGGGTGAGATGCAACATAGTCTCGAATACAAAAAGGAATTGCCGTCTCAGCTTGTGCGTGCTGCGTTTCCTGAGGATTTGTCACGTTGTTCTTGTCGCGGTCCCGGAAGAGGTGGGGCGGAGGTGAGAAATGCTGCTTTCTTTTTTGTTTTGCCATTTTTCTTCATGTTGGCGTTGCAGTATAGTATGACTGCCAACAGTGACACTGCGGATGTCACTGGGCTTCGACTGGATAGTGTGATCTCCAATTTTGAGGGCGTAAAGAGCATTACTGGCCTGCCCAAGGGAGCGTTCATTGCCACTTTGGTGCGTTTCATGCAGGAGACCCTAGAACCGCGCCTCACAGAGGAGGGAGAGGTCCGGCGTCACCTAGGCGAAGTGGAGCAGCAGCGTCAGCGAGTACACCGATTGCTGGAGGACGTGAGTCTGGCGGGTGAACTAATGTCTCTTAACGTTGGAGGGAGGGGCTTTACGGTACTTCGCCGGACCCTCGGTACTGTGCCTGAAAGTATGCTTGCATTGTTGGCGAGCGAATGGCTGAAGATTGAGTGTGATGCCTCTGGGGCTATCTTCCTGGATCGATCTCCAGATTTGTTTGGAGAAATTTTGCCCTATTTGCGTTTGAGGGCGGACTATCGAAGATCAGGTAAAAAACCATTAGAGGGGCACGATGAAAATGTAAATGAAGTAGATGAGGAGGCCATTATGACACAATTGACGGAAACGAATTGGCGTCATATGTCTTCCAGGGAATTGTACTTGCTGGCTACTGAGGCAAACTATTATAACCTGAAAAGCCTTGAGTTGTACCTCAGGCGGTACACTCAGCAGCGATGGATTGAGTACGGTAGATTTGTGGTTTCCCAGGAGGATGCGACGCACGACAGCCATGCGGATGAACCGCACTTCACAGGGGTGACTTCCTCAGGAGACGCAGTGTTGTGCCTCTCGTATGACGAAGAAAGTAGTGTATGCGCAGCTGGGCGAAAAAGTGGTGTGGTGGCAGTATATTTTTTGCCGTCGCTGGTTCGGCTTGTGACGCTTAGTAGACATGCAAGCTGTGTTACAGCTGTGCTTGTTACACCGAAACATATTTTTTCAGCTGGACACGATGGTTTTATCACGGTGGGCCACAGCCAGGAAGGTTCCTTTGCTCTTATCTGCAACGTATGCGCGCATGAAGGCGTTATCTACGATCTGCTACTACTACCGGACCGACTTACACTTATTTCTTCTGGTGAGGACGGCGCGATAAATGTTTGGAAACTGACCCACGGCTACCAAACAGTCCTGGAAGAGAGTGTTGCTACTCTATCTTCCGTACGCTGCCTTGCCGCATACCGTCATCACATTTTTGCCTCCTGCCGGGAGCAGATTTTGGTATTTGATTTGGATAAAGGTGATTTGCTCCCGCAACGTGGGAAATTTCATACTGCACCTATACGTTGTCTGGCGATGAATGAGTACAAGGGAATTCTGGCGTCTGGTGGGTGGGATGGCATGATATATATTTGGGGGGCAAAAGAAATAGTGTCGTTGAGTTGCAAGGAACCGCAAGGGCTGGAGGATGAATGTTTTGTGCCGCTTTACGCAGTGACGCAGTGTGATAGTTGGGTGACGCATATATTGTTTGTGGGAAGCCTATTGGCTGCTTCGTGTGGTTCAGTTATCAACTTTTTTGCCTGTGACCTGGCATCACGGATTGTTCGTTGCGTGAGGACGGATGGAGCTGCGAAGGCAAATAGGGGGCGTAGGAACGAGTTTGTTCGCGTCTTCCTGGCAGCGGAGCATGTGAATTGCCTGTTAATAGGTGGCCTTGACGGTACCCTTATCGCCCTTCAGAATTGTTTGTTTGCGGGGACAGGAAGAGAGGTTGAGGCGAAGTCATGTCAGTGTGGGCGTGGCGAGGAGCTGGCGCCGCCTGCATGAGGTTTGGGTTGCCATGCTCTTGACTCGGCCCCTCGCGGTGCCACGCCACCAACAAAAGTGGGGATGGCGTGTAATGAATTTGAAGTGCAGCACCCGCCCCACCCGCATTTGTATTAGTGCGTGCTAGCAAACAGAACCTCAGTGGCATCAACTGCCTATCCGCTTTTTTTTTTCTAAACATTTTTGTTTTTGTTTACTTTCGCTTCTTCTCCGACGTTGGCTTGTACGCCTATTTTTGGTCCTTAGGTGAGGAGAGGGAATGCACCGAGTTGAGAGAGGAGAAGCAGGAGCGCAAGAAACAAACAAACAAATGTACAACGACGACGACAACAACAACAACAGAAGCGGCGGACTTGGGGAACGTCCACCAGAGAAGCCGGCGAGTTGGAGGGCCCCAGCAAAGGTGAGCGGAGGGAAGGAGGGCAGATGATGCGGTTGTTCTCGCTGGGGGTTCAAAGGCATTTGTTTGAATGGAGGTGATTTACGTCTTTGGAGTTTGGCATATTTGCTGCTGGGTTTATTTTTCCCAAAACTTTTTTTTTTGATTTTTTAATTTACTTCTTGGCGTCATGCGTAAAGGCGTGCCTCTCTGAGGTGCAGAGACTTTTTGTTCAATCAACAGAACGGGGATGACATAATGTGTTTTTTTTTCCTCTTATTTCCCCTCGCATACGGTGCCACGCAGGACCACTTAGGAACCTCCCTCATCTACGTGATGGCGTCTCTGCTCTCTGTGACTGGCGCTTGGTTCGCTGGACTGTAGTTCAGCAGTCGTATCAAGCGGAAAACAGCGTGAGATCGTTTTTACAATACCCGGTTTACTCTCATCACTTGGCTCCTTGAACTGGCGTCTCTGGTAACATTACTACTGCGAGTATTACCGACAAACCATGGTACAGTAGTTGTGTTCTTGAAAGAGTTGTTGTGACACGGCCCAGTTATTTTGGGTGTGTTTAACATTGGCTTTATCCACGGGAATTTGCTCTACTGCTTCTCTTACTTCCTGTGCACCTTTTTGCCTTGTGTTGGTGCCGATAACGTGGCTCTTGTTGTAGTGGAATTGCCTGTCGCCATGCCATATATGGCTGGCCATGGGACCCCTCACTTGAGCGTTAAGGGAATATAAACACGCCTGGCCCGTGGGTCAGCTTCTTTGCGGCAGCGGCGACCCAACGTGGGCTTTATGATTGGATTTCTGCATTCCGCTGTGTTGTACATCTTTCTGTCGCTGGATGACGCGCCCGTGTCGTAGCTTGTGTCTGGCAAACGATATGGGGTGGGTGTCACCGCTCGTGTCACTTCTGTGGCTCCGCAGTGCTCTGTGACGGCGTTGCCCGTGGAACTGCTTGGACATCACGGGTCCAGGAGGGAGGGGGGGGGTGAAAGCTGGGCCTGTTTTGTTGTGTGAT